GGTGACACTGGCTGGCTGAGGCCTTACTTCCTGTAGTCTAGATTAGATGCCTGTTGCCTTCTCTCTTTCTCCTGGCTCTTTTCTCTCACCTCTTTGCAACTGGTACACAATCTGAACTGTGTCTTAAAGACTAGATGGGTACAAAGTTCAGCTCATCTTAATAAAAATAGCCTTCGTTAATGAGAACTTTTATACAGCCACTTTCAAAACCAGCAAAAGCCTGATCAAATCTATAAGGTAACCACAGTGGTAGACAGGAAAGTTGTTAGTCCCCACTGTATAAATTTGGAAACCAAAGCTTAGAGAATGACACAAGTTGTCTCAGATGACTTAGTGGCAAGCATGGAAGCTGACTTGATTGGAAAAAAGCTCTTTTTCCAACTTAGTGATCATCTGTGGTCATTATTGCATCTCCCAGTGAGAAATGTTGCTGCCTCTTTCCTGGGTGCATACGCCCTATGCTTGAGTGTTTCTCAAGACCAGAAGGTCTGCTTTTTTCCTGGTTGCATCCTTCTCAGCATAGAAAACTGCTCTGTGCTGTCTCTGGGAACGTGGCCTGTGTAAATGTAGGTGCGGATACCATCATTGACCTCAGAAAGCATGTGCTGCTGCTCAGCCTTTCCTACTTTGACACTCCCTCCAGGAGACCTGTGGGTTTGGCTCTGAGGCCTGATTGGACTCTGGAGCTTTCTAGCATACCCTCTCCCCTGACTCTCCCAGCCTGGATCATCTGGGCCCCTCCCCCAGGGAGAGTCTGGGCCTAAGTCTCAGTGGAATCCAGTTTGTGCCAGCTGACTGCTGTTACTGACCTACCCTGGCACATCACCTAAGCTTTGGCCAGAGCATACACCGCCTGCAGAATATAGCCTTTAGAACTGCTGGTAGCCATGCCTTGGAATCTGCACATCTGGATATAGAGGTAAGGCAAGGGACCACAAACATTCCTACCTCACCTCAGCCTGCCCGTTGTCACTCTCCCCGCCAGATACATAAGCCAATCCTCAGTCTGGGCCACCTGGCTTCAGCCCCAGGTGAATTGACTCTACTAGGGGTGGAGGTGGGGTCGCTCCTGGCCTCAGCCTGGGCAGGCTGAGACGAGTGGGAGGGACAAGGCAGAGCACCGCAGTTCAGCCCTTAATCACCAAGACATATGTCCCTGACTGATCCATCTGGGAGGGAGCCTCAGGGCCTCCCAGCCCTCCATGAGATGGTGTATTGTGGGGAGCCAATGTCCCTGACATCCTGTTTGGTAATAACCCATTACATTCTCTAGATTCCTGTTAAGGAGAGGTGGTGGGGAATTCAGTCTGTAGCCCTACTCCAAACTTCTTTGCTCCTTTGTCTTTGGAGCAATTGCAACCTCTTTGAAACTTCTGCCTCCTTACCTCACTTCCCCCAACCATTTGGCCTCAATTCTGACAGTGGTCTGGGCAAAGCCATTGTCCAGACCCGCAAGGGAATGCAGTAGCTGGGCTTCTTTCTCTAATTTCCTCTTTTTCTTTGGGACCTTTCAGAGTCAGAGTTGGGGTGGAACACATTTGTTGAGTGCTTGGTATTATGTGCCAGGGGCTTTTGCATTCTCCAGTCTTTTATTTAATGCTGTCAGTAGCTATAAGATGTGGATGCTGACTGGGTGTGGTGGCTCACACCTGTAATCCTAGCACTTTGGGAGGCTGAGACAGGGAGATAGGAGGATCACTGGAGGCCAGGAGATGGAGACCAGCCTGGGCAATATAGTGAGACCCCGTCTCTACAAAAAATAAAAAGAAAACTAGCCGGGTGTGGTGTGGTGGCTGCTATTGTAGTCCTAGCTAGTCAGGAGGCTGAGATGGGAGGATCACACAAACCCAGGAGTTTGAGCCTGCAGTGAGCACCACTGCACTCCAGCTTGGGTGACAGAGTGAGGCCCTGTCTCAAAAAGAAAAAAAAAATCCAAAAACATGAAAAATAAATAAAATAAAAATTGAAAAAAGATGTGGATGCCGTGGCTCCTGTTTTACAGAGGAGGAAATGGAAACCTGGAGAGGTTATACAACTTGCCCAAAGTCGAAGAGCTAGTGACTGACAGCATCAGGATTTGAACCCTGGGTTGTGACTCCACTAGACCGGAAGGAGCAGGAAAACAGCCTGGGGGGCTGGGGTTGGTTCCTGAGTCTGAGCTCCTTGCTTGGCTGGCATGAGGGCAGGTGGCATAATGCAATGGCCAAGAGCGCTGAACATGGAGTGAAAAGATCAGGGTTATAGTCTCACCTGTGATACTTTACCCTGTATGACCTTGGAAAAGTCTCTTGGACCTCAGTAGGCTTTATACTGTAACATTTTAAAAAATACCGATGTGGAGAGTCCTACCACAGATCAGTTAAGCCAGCCTTCTGGGCACTGGTATTTTTAAAAATAACACTTCCTAGCTGATTCTTATGTGCATCCAGGGGTGAGAATCACTGAGCAATGTGATTCAGACCAAGACTTTTCAAACTTTAATGTGTTTGCCTGAGGGTCTTCTTAAATATAGTGGTTCTGGGTGTGGGGCTTGGGATTCTGCATTTCTAACAAGCTCCCCTGTGATGTTGATGCTGCTAGTCTGGGACTACACTTTGAGTAGCGAGGGGCTACGGGGCTCTAGGTAGTCATGAAAGAACTTGGCATTGGCCTGAGTGAGATGGTCCTCTTCTGCCAACCCCCAGCTAGGGCCGATGCCTAGCATCAGGGGAGGGAGGTGCCTCTCCTATCCTCTCCATTAGCCGTGAGTAACTGAGGGCTGCAGTGGGATTTTAAGGGTGTGTTCCTGGCATGCAGGCCTACCCTAGAGATTTGCTCCCTTTCCTGGGGTGGCCATACTTGTGACCCTTTAGGGGCCGCTGTCTGCTCCTGTGCCCGCCTCTCTGGAAGTCCTAACCTGGTCCATCTTCTGGCACCTCCCTTTTGTCCTAATAACAGGAAAGCAGAGCTGGCTGCCAGGATGGGTGCTGAGATGGGGAAAGGGTCTCATCCCAGGGGCATGACAGGAACAGGGACAGGGAAGTGGCTGTGGCAGCCAGCTCAGCTGTCCTAGCAGCAGAACCATGTTCCTCAAAGGCTCCGTGGGCAGCTGTGCAGTCCCTTTGGACTGGTCTTACATCACCTAGACTACCACTGGCCTGGAGCACAGGATCCTTTTTCAGGCTTGCATTGCCCCCTGCCAGACAGGTGGAGGTACTGCTAGCAGGGCTCTGTCAGACACTTTTCAGGGACCCCTCAGAGGTCCTGGCGATTCCTAGATCTGTATCTTAGGTTAAGAAGTTGCAGTAACATAAAACACACACACAAACACACACACACACACACACACACACACACACACACACACACGGAGAGAAAGAGACGAGAGAGAGAGAGACAGAGAGAGAGGCGGGTGCATGCACAGACTGAGGTGCCTGTGGGTATATACAGGTGCACAGTCCCACAGTGATCCTCATGAGTTGTGGACATGAGCAGATTTGGCTACAGCTATGTGTAGAGACAGATGCTGTGGTGGACACTGACCTGTTGCATGCACTCACAGAAATGCACAAATGTTCATCCTTGCCCTTACCCCCATTTGCCCCCAAAACCTGCAGGGGCTCCAGGGGCTGCAGAGCCCTCTCTTCTTTCCCTCAAATCCTCATCAGTATGTGACCCTTGAGGAGCCCATTACTTTTTCTGACTGACTTCTAACTTCCCTCACTCTTCCCTCCACTGTCTACTCACCTAGCATCTCTGAAATACTGCTTTGTCCTTCATCTTATCTGTCCCAGCCACTGGGATTTCATCCTGGGTTTCCTTGTGAGTGAGCACTGGGAAGAGAGAGCTCTTCCTGTCTTGGAAAAACCTCACCAGCCTCCTTAGAGTCCTCTGGTCAGGGGGGCCAGGTGAGACTGTGGCCACAGGTGCTGAGGAAGTGGAGGACGTGTTGAGGGCAGGACTCCGTGGCCGGATCAGCTCTGCTAAAACCAACTGACTTCCCCCACCATCCCTGCGATGCCAGGTCCCATGGTCCCAGCCCCACTCATCTTGGCATCACCTGGGTGGAAAGCAAATAACCGCTTGGGCAGGCGCAGGGCTTTACTGCTGGTATTTGGCCTACCCTGACTAGAAGTGCCGCCTCTGTGGCTTCAGTCTAGCTGCACATCTCCGCTGGCGCTGGCAGGGGTGCCCAGCTCTGTGCCAGAACTCCCAGAGCAGAGGTGACAGGCTGACCTAGCCGTGTTCTTCCCCCAAGACCCCAACAGGCCAGTACTGTGTCTTCATGACACGCAGCACTGCACTATGACACAAATAGGCCAAGAGAGCTGGGGCGGTACTGGGAAGCTCCCTGAGGAGGGAGGACTGGAATGAGCATGCGGATGCTGCTGTCAGACTCAGCTGGGATTCCAACCCTGGCACTGCTGCTTTGTCCACTGTGAGACCGTAGGCTGAGCCTGTTTGTATGTCTGTAAAATGGGGATAGCAAAGCCATCACTGGTTATTGTGTGTGTGAAATGAGATTTGGCTGTCAAAGTGCTGAAGAATGTTACATGTGATGATGAGAAAGAGAATGATAGGAATGGTTGAGCATTCCAATTTCCTGCCTGGACTAGGCTGGTCTACCCAGGGCCTTGGAAGGGGGTAGGTCCCTCAGAAAGGCTTGGGGGGTGGACACAGCTGTGACTTCTTATCCCAGCAGGCCTCCTTGACCCCAGATGATCCTGGTTCCTGGGCAGGGGGTGGGAGAGTGGGAGGGGTTTGGAAGAGGCAGGGAATGAGACTCAAGAAAGCCAGGGCCAGGATGCCCAGACAGTAGGGTTTGGGGAGCAGAGGGCCTCCTGGCTGGCTATGACTTGGAGCAAATGTGCTAGGACCTCTGGCCTTCTCTTGCCATTTCTGGATCACCAGAATGAGATATGTCTGCCTGCTGGGGTTGGGCAGCATACACCTAGGGCCCTGGCGTCAGCACCCTCCTAACCCCATTTCTTTGCCTGTTTCTTTCCCTTGTTCTGTTTTAGAAGCCGAGGCCAAAAGAGCATGTGAGTGGCTTCGAGCAACAGGATTCCCTCAGTATGTGCAGCTTTTTGAAGGTAAGGCCACTCAATTGTTTACCCTCCCCCGTTACATACTTCCCCTAGCCCTCAGTTTTTTGTCTGTTAAATGGGGCAAGTCAGATTCTCTCTCCAACTACACACAAGCAGTGTCTCCTGGCCCTGCTCCGATTTTTTTCAGGGACTTTGCTCCTGCAGTTGTACCTTTCTCTCCCGCATCATCTCTACGAGATTGCTCTCACAACTGCCACAGACTCTGCTGTTGCCTATGCCTTTAAGGTACCTTGTCTTGACCAGGGTCACCACGTGGTACCAATCCTGAGGATGCCATGTCGGTACACACGGTGTGAAGAATGCCGCCTGGAGTTGTACACCCTGGTGGCCCAGGCTTGGCCTCACTTGCCCCACAGTGGTGGCCTCATTTCTCTGTTTTCCTTCATTTCTCTTTTGTGTTTTTCTAGAGTTCTTCACATTTGCTGTTTCCCTTCCCCTTTTCTGCCCACACCCCTACTGCACCCTGGCTTCACATCCACCTCGCCTGGTCAACTTGCCTGGTCAGTTCACCAGTGACGTCCATGTGGTCACACTCAGTGGTCACTTCCCAGTCCTCGTCTTGCTCCATTTCTCAGCAGCATTCAGTGCCACTGGCCACTTCTTCCTTTGGCTTCTGGAACACCCCCCTCTCCTGGCTGCCTTTCTGGCTGGGTTCTGTCTCCTTAGCTGCTCTGCTTCCTCTAACTGATATCTAAAGGTTAGGATATCCCAGGGCTCGGTCCGAGGCCCTCTTCTCTCTCAACATTTCTTTCTCATGAGATCTTTCTCTAAGTACCATCCACATTCTGATGACTTCCAAATGTCCAGACCTCATCCCCAAGCTCCAGATTCATATATTCACAGCTGCCAATTCAGTCTCTCTACTCTGATGTCTGATGGGTGTCTCGGATTAAACAGGTCTAAAACCAACTCCTGATGGTACCACCATTTACCCACTTACTCAAGCCCCATACCCAGGAGTCATCCTTAATTTAATTCCTCCTTGTTCCCATCTTCTATGTTTAACCTTTCAGCAAGACCTTTTCCCTCCAGAACGTATCTTGAATCAATCCACTTCTTACTACCTCCACTGCCACAGCCTGGTGTGACCCAGTGTCACGGCTCACCTGGGCTAGTACAGCAGCTTCCTGTGCTCTTGCACTCTCATCTCTACACTGCAGCTGGAGGGCTCTTGTTGGCCATAGGTCTGACTGTCAGTCCTGCTCCAAGCCCTCCGATGGACTTCCAGCACACTCAGAATGAAATACACACAGACGCTCCGTTCTGGCCTGTCACACTGCATTCTCCAACCTCCATTGATTACTCTTACCTTTGTTCACAGGGCTCGTCTCTACACTTGCTCACACCAAGCTTTTTCCCTCTTCAGAGCCTTGATGCTGATGTTCCTCCTGCCTGGAACTCTCTTTGCAGTTTCCTTGCACAGCTGGCTGCTTCTCATCTTTCAAGACTCAGCTCAGATGTCACTGCTTCAGAAAGCTCTCTGCTGACCACCTCTCTACAAGCAGCCGCCACCCCTACCAGCCTCCCTTTACACTATCATGCTGGCTGATGTCTTCCATGACATTTGTAACTGCACCATCTTGGTTTTAAGTATCGTTGCTTATCTGTTTCCTTTAAGAGCGTAAACTCCATGAAGGCAGGAACCATTTTTGTTGTGTTCACTGTTGTATGCTGTGTGGTTTGCTCAAGTGCCTAGCACAAAGTAGATGCTCAATTGGATACTCATTAGTTGAATGAGTAAAGGAACAAATGGGCTTGCTTCACCAGTAAGGTAGAGAGCTGTGAGACTTCTCAGATTCTCTCTTCCGTTTCCCCAACTCCTTTCTTTTCCCTCTCCCCTCCCTAAGTCCCAGGGAGTGGGCTCCTACTGCTCTGGGACACAGGGGGATGCAAGGTATTGTTTGGCTACTGTGCTGTCCTGTCCCTTCTGTCCTTGCTCCTGCCCTACTCCCCCAGGTTCACCTTGGGCCAAGGAGAAGTTTCCCCGCCTGAGCAGCCCAGGATTCAAAGGGGAATGGGGGAACCCATATTGGGCTCTTGGCAGTCACCTGGGGTCTTGGGCCTGCTGTCTCCCATAGACCTGCCTCACTGACTGACAGAATTCTTGGGTCCAGCTCAGCCCTCTAGGCCTCTCCCAGACCTTTCCCCTGAACTCCCTGGGCACCCTCCTTTATTCCTGATGTTTTTCCCTTCTGCTTTGCCTCTTGTCTTCCTGCTCCCCCTCCCTCCTGGCCGTTCCCCTCCAGCTCAAGGGCTACTGAGGCTGAGTTTGTGATACACCACTGGACTCATCTTTGCTTCTCTCTGCCATACAGAAGGTTCGTTTCCCCTGGATATTGGCTCTGTGAAGAAAAACCACGGTTTTCTGGACGAGGACTCTTTGGGGGCCCTGTGTAGGTAGGTGGGCTGAGGGTCAGGCCTGGGAAACCAAAGGCCCGGCTTGAAGCTTCCTCGTGGGAAAAAACATCCCTTGTACCCTCTAACAGAGGAGGAGCCCAGCTTACTAACAAAGCTTATCTTCTGCGGTCACATTGCTCATTCTGTTCTTTGTGTTTGTGACACCCTCAACCACCCAGTCACTCTAGCTAGAAAGCCAAGATCTGGCCTTGTTTCTTTTCTCCTAAAGTTACAGCCTCCAAATAGTCCTCTGCTTCAGTCCCTCTCTACTTACAAGAGCCTGGCCCTTGTTTGAGGCCAAACCATGGCTTCTCCTTGGATCGATCACAAGGCTTCAGCCTAACTGGCTTTAGTCTTGATAACCCATCTCTCCCCTCCCCTCTCCCCCTTCCCTCACCCCACTCCCAGATCCATCTAGATCCACCAGCCTCAGCATTGTAACAGCTCCAAATGGTTGTTCTTTCTGCTTAAAATTTGTCACTGCCTAAGGATAAAAATGCAGACTTTTTAGCATACAACCCAAAGCCCTTTGCAAGCTGGTTCATTAGCCTTAGCCCCACTGGTCTCATGCCCACTGATCTGTTTGCTGACTGTATACCTACAGTGTCCCGTGTAAGCTTGGGTAAGAGTCCCTATTTCTCTCACTCTCAAAATCCCATTTGCGTCCTCCAGGACGCCTTCTCTGACTGCATCCCTCCTTCATGGAGGTTGCTTGTCTCTCCCTGTGTTTGTCTGCTGTGCCTTCTGTCTGCTCTGTCTTTGAACATGTCCCATTTCTGTAGGGTTTATTTCCACTCTCTGTAAGCTCCTGGAGGGCAGAGGCCATAATCTTGCCAGCATTGTCTCTGGTTCTTAAACCTTAGGAATATTGGAGTTTGCGAGAAGTTTTGATGGCTTGGGCATGTGAAGTGGTGGGTGCATCTTGGTAGGCTCTGCCAGGCTTTGGGGATGTCCACCTTGGGTGGACACTTCCACTTTATTACAGGAGGCTGATGACCTTGAACAATTGTGCCTCGATGAAACTGGAGGTTCATTTTCAAAGCAAACAGGTGAGTCATGGCAAAGAACGGGTCTGTGGTCTTGTGGCGCCATAAGGAAACCCAGGGCGTACGTAAACCATTTGTAAAACTAGCTCTAGTATCCCAGGAGTCTGAGATGTCCAGAGCAGTACCTTTCCCCAGCTAGGGGTAGAGATGGAGGAGATCTATGACCCCATTCTTTCCTGGGAACTCACTTTCTTGCTTTTTTTTTCTGGGGCTTTCTATACCAGAGACCTGTAGTCAGGTGGGGCAGCCAAGTTACCAAAGCCCTGGGCTGTGAGACAGGAGGCCCATGGGGCCTGGTCTCAGCTCTGCCACTGATTGCTGAGGGACCTCAGGGAAACCTCTTCCCTCTGGGCCTCAGTTTCCCCATTTTGCAAAGAAGGAGATGAACTAGAAAATCTCAAATTCCGTCCACCTCTGTTGTGATTCTAATCTAAGACTACAGCCCAGAGCTTGGGAAGGTTTGTCACTGACTTAATGTATGTCATTGACCTTGGGCAAGTGGCTTTTGGTTTGTGGGTTTGTTCCCTATCTGTAAAATTGGAAGGGGGGTTAGATTAGTTACTTGACCATTACCATTACCATACATCTGGGCTCTGTCTGTGACTCCTGGCTTCCTCTGGCACTCCCAGAGCTAGCTCTACCCACCTAGGCCATGTTCTCAGCCAGAAAGCAGGGCCCTTCATCTCAGAGTCCCCCAAGAGTTTGGAAGCAGAGAGTGGAGTACAAGCAAGGACTTGTGGCCTGGGCTTCTCTGACCTGACCCTGCAGTGCCTTTCCCAGAATGAAGACTCAGAAGAGGAAGAGCAGTGTACCATCAGTAGCCACTGGGCCTCCCAGCAGGAAAGTAAGTGCTGGTCTCCCATGGGGTCCTCTGATCTGTTGGCCCCACCGAGCCCTGGCCTGCCAGTGACCTCAAGCTGTGAGAGCGTTCTCACCGAGCTTAGTGCCACCTCTCTGCCAGTCATCACCGTGAGCCTACCACCCGAGCCAGTAGACTTGCCCTTGCCAGGCTGTGCCCCCAGCTTGAGTGACCGGCCCTTCCTCAGCCCCACCCGGGGCCAGGAGGGTCCCCAGGACAAAGCCAAGAAGCGCCATCGTAACCGTAGCTTCCTCAAGCACCTGGAGTCTCTGAGGCGGAAGGAAAAGAGTGGCAGCCAGCAAGCAGAGCCCGAACGTTGTCCAGACGCCTCAGAGAAGGTCTCCAAAGCCTCATCTTTCCGCAGTTGTCGTGGCTTCCTCTCAGCCGGATTTTACAGGGCCAAGAACTGGGCCGCCACCTCAGCCGGTGGCAGTGGTGCCAACACTCGGAAGGCCTGGGAGGCTTGGCCTGTGGCCTTGTTCCGGCATCCTCAGCGGATACACCGGGGTGATTGCCTGGTGCATGTGCCTGGGGACCACAAACCAGGCACATTCCCTCGCTCCCTGTCCATTGAGAGCCTGTGTCCTGAGGACGGACACCGCCTGGCAGACTGGCAGTCAGGTAGGCGGTGGGGCTGTGAGGGGCGCCGGGGCTCCTGTGGCTCAACGGGCAGCCATGCCAGCACGTATGACAACTTACCTGAGCTGTACCCAGCTGAGCCTGTAATGGTTGGGGTCGAGGCTGAAGATGAAGATGATGAGGAGAGTGGGGGCAGCTATGCTCACCTAGACGACATCCTCCAGCACGTGTGGGGGCTACAGCAACGAGTAGAGCTGTGGTCTCGGGCCATGTACTCAGACCTGGGGCCTGGAGATGAGGAAGAGGAGGAGGCCACTTCATCAGTACAAATAGCCACAGTTGAGGTCAAATGCCAAGCTGAGGCTCTCAGCCAGATGGAGGTTCTGGCCCATGGAGAGTCCCCAGCCTGGGCCCAGGCTGAAGTCCAGCCAGCAGTCCTGGCTCCGGCTCAGGCTCCAGCTGAGGCTGAGCCACTGGCACAGGAAGAGACTGAGGCCCCGGCCCCGGCTCCGGCCCCAGCCCAGGACAGTGAGCAGGAGGCACATTCAGGCGGGGAACCCACCTTTGCCTCTAGCCTGTCTGTGGAAGAAGGACACTCCATTTCTGATACTGTGGCCTCCTCCAGTGAACTTGATAGTAGTGGGAACTCCATGAATGAGGCTGAGGCTGCAGGGCCCCTGGCTGGACTCCAGGCATCAATGCCCCGTGAACGGCGCGATTCAGGTGTTGGGGCCTCACTTACCAGACCCTGCAGGTGAGAGTTTGGGTTGGGATGGGGCGGATGCAGGGACTCCTGTTCTCTGTCTCTGAAGCTGATTTCTCAGTCATGAGGCCCAGGGCTAAGTGCTTGGGGGCTGCATTATCCCCTCACAGCCAGCTCAGGAGAATAGAGTACAGGAGTTGGGAATCCAGAAAGTTAGGTCCAGAACCTGCCTCTGCTGTGGCCTTGAGGAAATGATGCTCTCCTCATTGGACCTCAGTTTCCTCATCTGTAAAGTGAGGGAGGATGCTAGAGGAGATGGTCTCTGGTCCCCAGGTTTGCCCATTCAGAGTTTCTTGGAGCAGCCCCTCCACTGTAGTTTTGGAATGGGCAGGGGGCTTCACTGCTTATTGGCACTAGATGGGCCTGAGCTCTGTGCCACCCTCCCCAAGAATTTCCTGGCCCCTAAGAAACTGAGTCCAAGCTTTTTCCACCCTGGGGCCTCAGCAGCAGCGCTGAAAGTGGTCCCAATTCCCTGCATGTTTTCTTTGGAGAGAAAAAAGGGGACCAGAATAACACACACCTTTTCTAAGGTTTAGCCAAACCTGCTCCTCTGGGCCTCTCCACCCCTCTCACCGCCCCCCACCAGGAAGCTCCGTTGGCATAGCTTCCAGAACTCCCATCGGCCCAGCCTCAACTCAGAGTCGCTGGAGATCAACCGGCAGTTTGCAGGCCAGATCAACCTCCTGCACAAGGGCTCACTGCTGCGGCTTACTGCCTTCATGGAGAAGTACACTGTGCCCCACAAACAGGGCTGGGTCTGGTGAGTGGCTCCTGGGCCATGGAGGGTGGGAAACTGCCGACTCAGGTCCACGGCCCCAGGCAGGGTCAGCCCAGGAGGTGGGTGCAGGCAGGCAGGGCCCACAGGCCAGGGGAGCAGTGTGATATGCCAGGAGGCTGGAGGAGCTTGGTGAGGCTGGGTATGGGGCAGAGGACCTGAAGTCCTCCAGCTGTGTCTTCTCCATCCCAACCTCCGTACTGCAACTAGTGAGATTGTCCTAAAATGCAGGTGTGGTTGTCATTCTCCAGATAAACACTTTTCTCTGGCTTCCCATTGTCCAGATTCCCTCCCACCATGACTGCTTCCTGTTCTGGTCCTGCTCCATCCTTCTGGCTCTTTAGCCTACCCCTCCTAAGCAACCCCACCTTACAGACCAGTGGGACCAGTCATCCTTCCGTGAATGTGCTATGATCCTTTTTCTGCCTCTTTGCCTTTGTTTGTGCTGTGCTCTCTGCCTGTAATGCATTTTCCCCATTTCTCCTCTGGGACAATGCCTTCCTATCCCTCAAGAGCCTGCTGAGTTACCACATCCTCTCTGAAGCCTTCCCTAACTCACTAGGTACAGTTCCCCTCCCTCAATGGGTCTTCCCCTAAGTTCTTGGTCTCCTACTGGCCACATGAGTTGTTACTGCCTATTGACACAGTTATCTCCTTGGCCAGACTGAGAGCTCTCTGTGTTCCTCTGTGACTCCCTGGGGCTGCGCCCAAAGCAGGTGCTCAGTGAGTGTTGACTCTGGGACAGTGGTGTGTGCCTTACCCTCTTCACCCCACCTGATCCTCTAAGACTGCAGGCAGAGTCTCCAAACTGTGTTCTCCCTATCTGATCACTTGTCATTCTCCCAAACAGGTCAATGCCCAAGTTCATGAGGAGAAACAAGACCCCAGACTACCGGGGACAGCACGTATTTGGGGTGCCACCCCTCATCCATGTGCAGCGCACGGGCCAGCCACTGCCACAGAGCATTCAGCAAGCCATGCGCTACTTGCGTAGCCAGTGCCTGGACCAAGTGAGCCCTTGTGGGGCAGCCTGTGGGGAGATGGTGCAGGGGTGGGGTGCTGGTGGGCATTGGGCCGAAGGCTGAGGAGCTGGGGAGAGGAAGTGCTCTGGCCTTCCCCCTCACTTGGGCTGGTCCACCAGAGGCCTTTGCTGTTCTCAGCAAGGACCAGCAAGGATGAAACTCCTTTCTACTCCTTAGGCCCAGCTCTGTGCTACCTTCTTTCCGGCCCAGGCTCCATAGTCCTTATCTTCTGGGAGCCTGAATTTGCCTAGATCCACCTTTTCCTACTCATCTCCACAAAAGCATCTTTTCTTTTTTGTCCTGAAGCTGTAAAATTCCTTCTCTTTGATTTTCCCATTTGTCTCCTACCCTGCCCCTCAGGAGGCCTGATAGGCTTTGAAGTCTCTGGGGTGGCCTAAGCTCCTGACACCCAGTCCAGGACTGGCCTCACATTCTCCCTCCTACTCACGCATGTCTTCTTCCCTCCCTCCCTCCCTTGCATGGACCAGGTAGGCATCTTCCGCAAGTCTGGGGTCAAGTCCAGGATCCAGAACCTGCGCCAAATGAATGAGACCTCGCCTGACAACGTCTGCTATGAGGGCCAGTCAGCCTACGACGTGGCTGACCTGCTAAAGCAGTATTTCCGGGACCTGCCTGAGCCCATCTTCACCAGCAAGCTCACCACCACTTTCCTCCAGATCTACCAGCGTGAGTCACCCACTCCTATCCCCAACAACCTGCCCCATTCTCAACCTCCCTGAATCCCAGGCCTTGTGGAAGATAAGCCTGGTGCAGGCAAATGTAGCTGGACCTGTGAGCTGATTGGAACAGTTACTGTCAGGAGTTGAAAAGGCCCTTGCAGAGAGACCATTCTGCTTCCCCAAACCCATTATATGGAAGGGTAGACTGAGGCCCTGAGGGGAGAAAGGGAAACTACCTAAGGTTATACTGTACGTTAGTAATAAAGCTAGATCAAGCACCCAGAGACCTCACAGAACTGAACTTTTCCCTTCCCTCTCGCCACTCCCCTCGGGACTTCTGTGCCTTTTGCCCCCTTGGAAGCAAGAGGCTGGCTGCTAAGGCCTCTGGGGAAGTAAGGAAGGCTCTTCTTCCATTGCTTCCTCACAGTTCTCCCCAAGGATCAGTGGTTGGCAGCAGCACAAGCCGCCACCTTGCTGCTCCCCGATGAGAACCGAGAGGTGCTACAGACTCTGCTCTACTTCTTAAGTGACATTGCCTCTGCCGAGGAAAACCAGATGACAGCAGGCAACCTGGCAGTGTGCCTGGCGCCCTCCATCTTCCACCTCAATGTCTCTAAGAAGGAGAGCCCCTCTCCCAGGTGAAATGGGGCACGGCATGTCAGGGCCGGGCCAGGTCCAGACAATTTGGGCCCCATTGGACTTTCGGCTTTTGATGGCTGGCACTGCTGTGTCTCGTCCTCACCGCAAGGAGTGAGCCTGACTCCTCAGGGACCCTGGGCTGGTGGGATCTGTGGAGCAGGGCCTTCCCAAAGGCAGCAGGTTGCTTTGTAGCCAAGTTTGGCAAAGTGGCTTCCCGGCAGCTACAAGGCAACCTGTCTGTCATCTTGTCTTGTGCCCTTGTGCCATCTCTCCTCTCACCGCCTCCTGCCCCATCTAGGATCAAGAACAAACGCAGCCTCGTTGGTAGGCCAGGCCCTAGGGACCTGAGTGACAACATGGCAGCCACCCAGGGCCTGTCGCACATGATCAGTGACTGCAAGAAACTTTTCCAGGTGAGTAACCCCAGGCCATGGTGCCTACTTACCAGACCTGGGGGAAGCATCAGGCCTGACCTCGGTGCCCCAAGTCAGGGATAGGACCCAATTTGACACATACCCCTCAAGCTTATACCCCCAACTCTTCCTCCACCATGTTTCTCATCTACCTTGCTGTGGTAGCTGTACCTCTCTACTGCCCTTAACGTGAACCTGACAGACCCCATGGGGTCTCCTGCTCTCTGGAGCTGCAGCCCAGTGTGTGTGTGCCCTCTCAGGTGCCCCAGGACATGGTGTTACAGCTGTGCAGCTCCTACAGTGCAGCTGAGCTCAGCCCTCCCGGCCCAGCCCTGGCTGAGCTGCGTCAGGCCCAAGCTGCAGGGGTAAGCCTGAGCCTCTACATGGAGGAGAGCATCCAGGACCTGCTGCGTGATGCTGCTGAGCGCTTCAAGGGCTGGATGAGCGTGCCAGGGCCCCAGCACACGGAGCTGGCTTGCAGGAAGGTGAGTACCACACCACGGGTGGCTGCTATGGGGCTGGGAGAGCATGGTGCAGGCAAGGGGAGTCAGGGAACCCAAAGGAAGGAGCCGGGGAGGAGCTGTCCCCCAAGTCTCGCTGTGCCTCGGCCTTGTCCTTGGAGAATGTCAGAGAGTCAAGAAGGTACCTTAAGGAATCAAGAACCAAATGAGACCAAGGGAACTCTCTCAGGAACCACCTGCCAGAATGACCTTCCAAAAGCCCCATTCCAGATACGATGCTGCTTTGATAGCCTCAACTCCCATCTCTCCCTGCCCCGCAGTCCAGCTGAATCCTTGCATTTTGCACCTTCGTGCCATCCTGCTGCCTGGACTGCCCTGACCCCGAGCATTACATTTTCCGAGGCACCTTTAGCGACAATGGAATGTGTTCCTCCTCCATTCAGAACCTTCTGTCATGCCCCAGGATGGAGGGGATTTCTCTCTGTTCCCCTCTGGGCACTGGTCATGCTCTTTCTTGGACGTGGATTCTGAGTAAGATTGCAAGCCTGAAGTGTCCTGTGTAAAAAACGGTCATAACAAAACCTCCTATGTAGGATCAGGGTGAGTGCCTGGTACATACAAAAGGCTCTGTAAGTGGCAGCTTTTGTTGTGCATGTGTTTTACTGCCTGTGCTAGATGGCGAGCTCCTTGACAATCACCATCTTCCTGCACCTCCAAGCACTGTGCCCATCATGGTAGGGCCTGAGAGGCCTCTGGGAATGTGTGCCCCATCATCTCTTTATGCTGTCTAACAGACTGAAAAGCAGACATCCAGAAAAGAAAGAGAGAGGGCAGGGAGCATGGGAGCACTGTCTCAGTCTGGCCAGGGTTAGCAGAGGAGCTCTGCAGCCTACCCTATTAAACCTCAGGCGCTGCGGTTTGAGGCCCGGACTTAGGGCTGGAGTCAGAGTTCTCCAGCCCTGACAGCTGCCCCCATCCCCACTCCTGTGGCTCACAGGCACCGGACGGGCACCCCCTGCGGCTGTGGAAGGCGTCCACAGAGGTGGCAGCCCCCCCAGCTGTGGTGCTGCATCGTGTTCTCCGGGAGCGGGCCCTCTGGGATGAGGATCTGCTGCGGGCCCAGGTGCTGGAAGCCCTGATGCCGGGTGTGGAGCTGTACCACTATGTCACCGACAGCATGGCACCCCATCCCTGCCGCGACTTTGTGGTGCTTCGGTGAGGGGCCGCAGCTGCTACCCTGCTGTGCTTGGGGGGCCAGAGAAGTGGGGTGGAAACCAGCAGTAGGAATCTGAGCCTATGTGTCCTTTCTCCAATAGGATGTGGCGCTCTGACCTGCCTCGTGGGGGTTGCCTGCTTGTCTCCCAGTCCCTGGATCCTGAGCAACCTGTGCCAGAGTCGGGTGTGCGGGCCCTCATGCTCACGTCCCAGTACCTCATGGAGCCTTGTGGCTTGGGCCGCTCTCGGCTCACACACATCTGCCGAGCTGACCTCAGGTACCAGGCCTGGGACAGCCTGCTCGACCCCCTTGGCCTAGACCCCTTCCCCTGCCTCTGCCCCTCCTTTTTGCCCCATGCTGTTGATCCCTGGGGCTGGGACAAGTCCTTTCTTCCTTCTCCCTGGTGAGGGCTCCAGGGAAAAACACATTGCTCATGCCTGGTTTCTTCTACTTCCCTAGGGGCCGTTCTCCTGATTGGTACAACAAAGTCTTTGGGCACCTGTGTGCCATGGAAGTGGCAAAGATCCGGGACTCCTTCCCCACCCTGCAGGCAGTGGGCCCTGAGACAAAACTGTGAGCCTTGGGCTGGTCCCAGGGTGGCACCACTCAGGCCCCCTGGGCACCAAAGGAGTGAGGGGGAATAAGAGCAGAGCAGCCCCCTGGGTGCTGCTGTCAGGAGCAGAGCCAGGCCCAGGTGGCTCCAGCTGCCTGTCCTGTCCCCTTTCCTAAAGCTCCTCTGCACGTAGAGGGGAGAAAAAGAGAATTTAGGCAACTCTACTCCCCCTTCACCCCCAACCCTGTATTCTACTCTCCCGAAAAGAGAAGAGAATCACATGAGTAGCAAGACTACTGCCGCCAGCCACCTGCCTGTGAGGCCGCCACTTGGCCTGAAGCCTCCACAGCTCCCCACCTGCAGGGGCAAAGAGGTCGACAACAGTGTGTGATCCCAGCTCTCTGCCAGACTGAGAGGGCAAGCCGTCTTGTTTCCTGCAAGGGTGCTTTTGAGATTGGACAGGAGGTTCTGGTCCTGCCTTTGGGGCCAACACTGGCCCTGAAGTGTCTTTTTCAGAGGAATTGGACTGGAGTGAATGGGCACAGGGGTGGAGCGCAGGGCAACCCCAATCACCATGAGCTGTTTCATTTGTGTAAATATGATGCTGAATTTTAAGAGGCTGAGTTAAGAGTGGGCACTGACAGGCCCCTAATAAGCGACATGACGATTTGGCATAGATTGGGATGTGAGGGTGGAGAAGCTTCCTTTCTCAAGTCTCAAGACGCCAATGAAACCGGTTTTCCCTGACTTGGGTTTCACACTTTATCTGCCACCCCATGGGGTCCTGTGTAGCCTTTGTCCACACACTGCCACTGCCCAGGCCAAGCAAAAGCAGAGTGTGGTTAAGAGACAAGGGTCTATGTCATCGTCCCTTTTGCTTATGGTAGTGGGCTAACATAACAGCCCCTTTCTCAAGCAGAGACCTGGCCCCTGGGCCAGACAGATGGAAGGGCCTATCTTAGCCAGCTGGAGCTTAAGCCAAACCTCTTCTGTCCCACTGGCCAGCCATCTTTGCTCACATGGAAATTCAAATGCCATTCAAAGGCCACTGGTGCTTTATTTTTCTATCTGCTGAGTAAACTGAAATGAGATGGGTCCCAACCACCACTGTAATTTTCAAGCCTATTTTATTTGTACCTGTAAATACTGTACAGTTTATATATATGTGTGTGTGTATATATGTGTTTATATAGATACACACACACGTGTATATATATACACATATATATATACACACACACACGCATTTGCACAGACACACATATATATCAATTCTCATGAGTGTATTATAATCTCTGGTGGGGGCAAGGGTCTGGAAGGCCTGAGGGGCATTTCAGATGAGAATGGAGAGGTAGAGAGCCAGGTGCAGCAGGATCCCTCAGATCAATAAAGCATTACCAGAGATGCACTTTAACTGTGTGGCTGTCTTTGCTGACAATGGGCTAGGGACTGGGGACTGGGGTTGTGACTGAGGCTTCAGTGTTAAGGCTCAGAGCATTGAGCATTCACCCCACCCTCTGCTGAGTCCCAGCTTACTGGCAACAGGTCTTGGGTGAGTCCACAGGAAGAACGGGGAAGGCCTCAGCTCTTCTCTTTGGAGAGGGATTTGTGGCCAGGCATGGTGGGGTGGGGTGGGGTGGGGTGGGGGGTGCGCGGAGAAGGGGTGGAAAGTTAGCCAGAACTTGAGCAGAAGCTGCAAACCCCATCTCATGACCTGGCCACAAGCATGAATGACCTCAGGCATCCTAGGGAGAGATGAGCCTGGCTAAGCGGCCATTCCTTCCCCTTCTAAACAGCTTGAATGAAGAGTGAAGTCCCAGCCCCAGGAGGCTTAGGGGGCCCTGTGCCACCCGTAAGCCAACCTAAGAGGTCTGAGTGCCTCAAGGCAGCCTCTGGTATGGCCCCAGTGACCAGCAAAGCCCAGGGGCCTAGAGAAACTCTCATCTTGACTTTCCCAAAGGAAGGGGCTTTCCTCTGCCATATTTCATGGCCATAAAATCCCAGGCTCCGAAGAGCAGCTAGAGAGAAAGTCCAGGCTTTGGACTTTTGCATCCCTGAAGTGCTCTCAGTAGCCTGGGCAAGCAAGCCCTGCTCTCTGGGTACCTCAACCTCCTCATGGGTCAAACGAGGCCAGTCATACCTTGCCACAAGCCTGTCTTGGTAAGTGTTCAGGTTGCACCACCCAAGTCTGCACTCCGACCCGGCCTGAACAGTGAGGTGCCTGTCCAGTCCCGCTGCTCTTGTCACCTTCTTCATTCTGTCTTGGGCTCAGTTGTCCCTACATGCCTTGGCCTTTCTTCACTGCTAGGGGTCTTGGCTAGCCCTGGAAGTGAGTGAGGTAGAGCAGAGGACCCAGTCAGCCCCCTGCCTTTGGGAAAACTAAATGGAGGCCCCTTGTGTCTGAGTATGGGCTGGGAGATCACTCCGGCAGTGCTGGGCTTAAGGGATACCTGCGTGATGCTCTGGCCAGTAGTTCTTGAGGAAGGCATCGGGGCCTTCTGGCCCAGGCACTGCCCACCTTCTCTTGGAAGGAGGTTGGTGGTAGGGTACAGAGGATGGGACTCAGCACTCAGATGATGGTTGCTAGGAGACGGATAAAGAGGAGGGATCCTCTTGGAAGGGCCAGAGAGTTCCCCCAACTTGCAGCTCTGGACTCTGCTACCCTGACCCAGTCACCCAGTGTCTGGCAGTGTGGAAGAGGTAGCTCCAAGTAGGAGAGCTTCTGTTGGGCCTTAGCATCCTCATGTGTAAAGCAGGGCTCCCATCCCTCATCTCTGCCTACTCCTCATTCTAGATGTAGGAATGAGTTTCATGATGAGGCTGCCCAGGCCTCTCGTTCCCACCCACAAAGCAAGCACCACCCCTGACCATTTCTAGCCCTGAGTCGTGTACCTCTGCCAACCCTGAGTAGGCTTCATTTCCCTGGTGCCAGAGAACGTGCCTTCAAATTCCCAGTCCCACTGCCCGTAGTCTCTACTCTTGTGCTTTCCCTGACCCACTGTCTCAAAGAAACCGGGTCGCAGGGGAATCCTGCATAGAAATCGAACAATCTGCCTATGAGCTTTGATTATTGTTTCCTAGTCTCCAGCGTCCTGTTGCCAGAGTGACTGAGGGTAGATGGTGGTCAGACCCAGGCTCAAATCTAGCTATATCATTTCCTGGCTGTGTGACCTTAAGTGGCACATTTAACATTTCTGATTTCTTTTCCCTCTCAGAAAATAAGGGTAAGAATCATTTATATCTTGTAAGGTTGTTGTCAAGGTTAAATGAGCCAAGAGTTGTGAAAGTGGTTGCACAGTGCCTTGCACATAGCAGACATCAAAATATGGTAACCCCCTGCCTGCCCTGTGTCTTTCCTGCCAGTGAGACTCCATAGGGAGAACTTGGTCCCCTCATCTGGGATCTCCAGCTCCAAGATGGGGAGAAGTGGGTGGGCTTTTCTCCCATCAAGAGAAAGATGAGCAGCCAGCATCTGCCTGTTGTCAGTGAAGACAATGAAGAAACATGTTGCAATGGAGACTTCATGGGGGGATGGCACCATGCAAGTGGGCCCCAGTAGTGTGGATGGAGCAGAACATACTGGTAAAGATAAAGATGATGGCAAGGACTGCCAGGAGCTTTACACCTGTATGTAACAAAGCTTCTGAGCTCCTTGCTCAAGGCCTGGGGGTGTGGAGATGGGTGGAAGAAAGCCCAAGGCAGTCTGACATGGAGCTACACAGGGGATAGGGTTGGGGCTATGGAGATCTAGGGAACTTCAATAGCTTATGGCCTTCACCCAGTGATGGAGAGGAGTCAGCAGTCAGGGCTATCAACAAGGAAGGCAAACAGTAGAACTCAGAGACGGGCATGGGGACTCCATTGCATGAAGCTGCAGCCAATAGGGAAAAAAGTCTCAGAAAGTGGCTTGGGGCTGGCAACCAATGCAATGCTTTCTGGGGAGAGAGTCACTTGTGAGCCAATCGGTAGCATGGTCTGAATATTAGCTACCCACCAGGTGCCAAGGAGGGAATCAAATCAACACTTTTCCCTTCATCTAGGGCCAGATAAACTGGTCAGGAAGCTGGCAGCTTGGCCCCTGCCCATTATGTCCCCATCCTCACTCAAGAAACAGAATGGAATAGCTTGGGGCAGCTGAACTTGTACGTGCATCAAGGTGGAGAGGAAAGCAGATGCCATTGTTGCCATGGCAGTTGACCAAGGGGTCACAGCACCAATGGAACAGAATAGAGAATGCAGAAACAAATCCACACATCTACAATGAACTCATTTTTGACAAAGGTGCCAAGGACATACACTTGGGAAAAAGACAGTCTCTTCAATAAATGCTGCTGTGAAAACTGGATCTCCATATGTGGAAGGAAATGAGACCCCTATCTCTCTCCATATACAAAAGTCAAATCAAAATGGATTAAAGACGAAAATCTAAGGTCTCAAACTGTGAAACTACTACAAGAAAACATTGGGGAAATTCTCCAGGACATTGGTCTGGGCAAAGATTTCTTCAGTAATAACCCACAAGCCCAGGTAACCAAAGCAAAAATGGACAAATGGGATAACATCAAGTTAAAAAGCTTCTGCACAGCAAAGGAAACAATCAACAAAGTGAAAACACAACCAACAGAATGGGAGAAAATATTTGCAAACTACCCATCTGATAAGGGATTAATAAACAGAGTATACAAGGAGCCGAAACAAATCTATAGGAAAAAAATCTAATCAAAATGGGCAAAAGATTTGAACACACATTTCTCAAAAGAAGACATAAAAACGGCAAACAGGCGTATGAAAAAGTGCTCAACATCACTGATCATCAGAGAAACGCAAATCAAAACTAGAATGAGATACCATCTCACCCCGAATAAAATGGCTTATATATAAAAGACAGACAATAACAAATGCTGGTGATGATGTGGAGAAAAGACAACCCTCGTACACTGTTGGTGGGAATGTAATTAAGTACAACTACTATGGAGGGCAGTTTGGAGGTTCCTCAAAAAACTAAAAATAGAGCTACCATATGATTCCGCAATCCCCCTGCTAGGTATATACCCAAAAGAAAGGAAATCAGTATATTGAAGAGATATATGGACTCCCGTAATTGCTGCAACACTATTAACAACAGCTAAGATTTGGAAGCAACCTAAGTGTCCGTCAACAGATGAATAGATAAAGAAAATGTGGTACCTATACACAATGGAGTACTACTCAGCCATAAAAAAGAATGAGATCCAGTCACTTACAACAACGTGGATGGGACTGGAGATCATTATGTTAACTGAAATAAGCAAGGCACAAAAAGACAAACATCACATGTTCTCACTTATTTGTGGGATCTAAAAATCAAAACAATTGAACTCATGGATATAGGGAGTAGAAAGATGGTGACTGTTACCAGAGGTTGGAAAGGGTAGTAAGGGGGTGGGTGGTGGGAGGTAGAGATGGCTAATGGGTACCAAAAAAAAAAATAGAAAGAGTGAATAAGACCTCTATTTGGTAGCACAACACGGTGACTATACTCAATAACAACTAAATTGTACATTTAAAAATAACTAAAAGAGTATAATTGGATTGTTTGTAACACAAAGGATCAAAACTTGAGGTGATGGATACCCCATTTATCCTCATGCAATTACTATGCATTGCATGCCTGTATCAAAACATCTCAATTACTCCATAAATATATATACCTACTATGTACCTACAAAAGTTTTTTAAAAAATTTAAAGAATGTTTTTGTTTGTTTTATTGATGGGATCACTTAAAACCTGGGGTCGGTGGGGAGAGAGCAAAATTCAAAGGCGCCCTTGGGAATTCATTACATGAAACAATCAGAATTTGTTATCGGGGGCAGTTGCAGGCACCGGACATAAAAACCTGCTTTCCTTTAGGCATTTGAAAATTTAAAAAAAAAAAAAAAATGGCTTGCAGACCACTACCTTTGCCACATCTCAGGAATCAGGAAGCCCAGGTGAGGAATCATCACATCAGGAGAGTATAGGATGGGCTCTGGAGCCAGACTGCCTGGATTCAAATTCAGCACCATTACTTACTATCTCTGTGACTCTGTCATCTTCTCAAGGAGTCATGTAGCTAGTAACCCAAGTGACCATATAGCTAGTTACCCAGTCTGCCTCGTACCAGAGTGTGTGCTCATAACTCCTCCAGTGGGCTTCAAACTTCAGTGAGCATCAGCATCACCCTGGTGGACTGTCAAAACATGGGCTGCTAGGCCCCACACCCAAAGTTTCTGATTCAACCGATCTGGGAAGAAGCCTGAGAATTTGCATTTCTGACAAGATGTCAGGTGATGGTGATGCTGCTGGTTCAGGCACCACACTTTGAAAACCAGTGATCTATAAAGTGAGGAGGTTAATTATGATGACATAAGTTTCATTCAACTGAATTCAAATC